TGGCCTGACAGGGCCCACCCACACCATACGGGGGTGAGGCTCCTTGGGGCCCCACCCACACTGCAGGGGGCGTGGCTTGAAAAGGCCCCACCCAGGAGCCTGCCTCTAGTCCACTCTGCAGGGCCAGGTCCCAGGAGGCCAGGGCTTGGGGGCCCTCTCCCCTCGGGTTGACCCAATGACCCAAGGCCACGTGCGGGGCGGACACAGGCCGAATGCAGACTCTGACCTCCAGCCCCGAGGCCCCGCCCTGCCCGGGACCGTGGAGATGGGGAGCCCCACTCCCGCCCCGGGGCGCCTACTTCTTGTGCGCGTGGAAGGCGGCATAGGTGAAGCTCTTGCCCTGGTACTCTCGGAAGAACTTGCTGTCGCCCATGCGCACGTGGTACACCTCATTGCCCGAGCAGCGCCCGTACATGCGCTGCCACTGCTCCGGGGACTCCTGGCCCTCCCTGCACGGGCGGGAGACGCGCGCTCAGCCGCCCTTCACCCCAGCACGGCCAGCCTGACCCTGACCCTGACCCAGACCCTGACCCAGACCCTGACCGGCTGGGCCTCGGAAGCCTGAAGGGTCACTTGGCTAGTTTTTAAAAGCCGTAAACGCAAGGATTTTTAGGGGACACCGAGAGGTTTCGGGGTCACGGCTGGCCTCCCCTGCCTGGGCCCTGCCCCAGGGCTGCTCAGGTCCCATAACGAGCCCAGGCCCCTGTCAGGGGGACCCCAGCCTGGTCTCCCCCAAAGAAAGGACAGCAGCCTGCTCTATCCCAGGGCTCAGCTGGGATTCAGCCCCCCAAATACTGCAAACCAAACACACCTTCTCCCCAAAACCAGGCCCTGCCAGCAGGTACTGGGTCCAAGTGCAGCTCTCCTGGCCACCACGCCCCCCCCAGCTACCGCACCCCCTTGCTCTAGATGGGCCCAGCCTGGAGTCCCCAGCCCCCCACCCTTGGCTGCTCAGGGTCCCCAGCACCTGCATCCTGAGTGGGCCTGGCGTATGCAGCTGGGCCCGCACCTGTGATCTCCCCCCACAGCACCCACCTCTGGATGAGACCTTTGCCCGCTGCACACGCCCCTCTCCATCCCAGGCCTCCCCACCACCCCCATCTCCCAGGCAGCGGGCTGTGCGGCACTCACTGGCCGCGCGACGTGTGCACCAGCAGGGTGATGAGGGTGGACGTGGCCGGGCAGATGCAGTTCAGGGCCAGCATGGCGTACTTGCACTCCTCCTCACACACCACGTGGTCTGCGGGCAGGATGGTCGGTGGACGCCCCCAGCCCCCTCTGCGCCACAATCCCCTGCTCACCTGCCCCCCAGGTGCCCCCCTCAGACACGCCCACGGAGATGCTCAGCAGATGTCCCTGCCCTCCCCGGCCCTGGGCTCCTGCCCTCGCTGACCCCAGCCCCTGCGGCAGGCCTGCACGGGGTCCCTCTCCACCGCCCTCGGTGGGGATGGGTGCCCGCTGTCCCCCAGCCGTGGCTCTGCGTGCTCCAGTCCCCTGTCTGGGAGGGGCCCACTCCCTGGGGCACACGGGGCCCCACGCCAGTACCTGCGAACTTGACGTGAAACTTGTTCTCAGGCTTGAGGATCTGCACGTAGAGGGGGCAGTTGGGGGCGAAGTCCTTCACGGCCCAGGCTCGCAGGATGGTCTGGTGGTCCTGGGGGCCGAGAGGGTGTGGTCAGTGTGGGGCGGCAGCGGGGGCTCGGGGCAGGGCCGGGGCACTCACCGCCGCCGTGCGGTCCACCTCGTTCCTGCTGCTGAGGATGAAGCAGGCCTCCCCGTTGTCCATCCTGCAGAGCACAGACCTGAGCTGGCCTGGCCCCGCCACACGCCCTCTCGGCCGTCAGGGGCTCAGGGCAGAGGCTGGAAGGGGTGGGCCCAGTCGAGACCCCACCTCTCTGTGCTAACAATGTGCTGTCGGGGCCCTGAGCGCCATGGGCGCCATCCTCTGTGTCCCCACTAACCCAGGCGGGGCTGGGGTGGACGGAGGGGAACACATGTTGGCAAAGACGCTGGACCCCGACCACCGGCCTGTCCCCTCCTGGGGTGAGCTGCCCAAGTCTTGCAACCACCTCCTCCCCCTGCCCCCCGCCCTCTGCAGCCCTGAGGACCCCTGGCTGCAGGGGGGCCCAGGACAGGGGAGGTCAGAGGTCCAGCCCTCCCTACCGATCAGCGGGAGCCCGCCGGTCCCTGGCAGCCACTGTCTCTCCCTTGGGCCTGGAGCTGGGCATGGACCACCTGGGAGCCTGTGCCCGGCGGCCACACCCCTGGGCAGGGGCTTGGCTCCTGTGCCCATTTTATTGGTGAGACGGGAGGGGGCCAGGGCCTCCGCTCAACCCACATGTCCCCACGAAGGATGTGTCAGTTCCTACAAGTCCCAGAACAGGCACAGGCACATTCTGGAAAGTTCCATTTAAGAACCCAGTCTTACCTCAAGTCACCCTGTCAGATTGCCTTTAAAGACACCCGCCCACAGCCACCTCGTCCCCCAGGCACCGCGGGGACGCCCCACCCTATCGCCTCTGAGCCCCTCCCGGAACCTGAGAGGACCGTACGGGCGCCAGGCGAGGAGATGGCTGGGGCCTGGGGCGGGCGGGGGCTCACTTGGCTCGCATGAGGTCCTGGTCCTTGAGCGCCGAGCCCTGGAGGTAGATGACGCGCTGGGCCCACAGGGGGATCTGCAGGACCCGGCGGACCTGGATGTCCATGTCGGTGGGGCACAGGATGACCACGTAATAGTCCTGCGGGCGGCGTGGGGGTGAGCCCGGCCATCCCCACATCACCGGCCGCCCTGGTCCCCAGGCCCACCCCAGGGTGGGGCCCCGGGCGGACGCACCTGGAGCCGGGGGTGGGCGTAGAACTCGTTGAGGAAGTCCATGAGCAGGTCAATCTTGAGGGAGCTGACGCACAGCACCACGTGCTTCTCCGTCTGGGCCCGGTGGCGGCTGTAGTTGCCCCCCGACTTCTGCCGCTCCATCCACAGGTAGACCAGCTCCTCGCACTGCAGGGGGAGCAGGTGAGCGCCAGAGGCCTGGGCCCAGGGGACTGGGAGGGCCCTCGAGGCACCCGGGCCCCAGCTGTGGGTGGTGGTGATGTCGGGGATGGGCCCCTTCCTGGTGGGAACAGCAGGCGGAGAGTCCCAGACAAGACAGTGGGGTGGGCGCTGGCGGGCAGCTCGTGCTGGGACATGGGGAGCAGGGAGGAGGGCAGGGCTGAGCAGGCCAGGCCACGGTGAGCTGGGTCCCGACCACGACTGGGAACCGGGGGTGTGAGTGGCACAGGCCACGCAGGGGCCACACAGAGACAGGGTGGACGTCGCAGTGGGCGTGTGGGGTAGCGAGAGGCTGCATATCCAGCTCCCGGCCCCAGAGTCCAAGTGGCCGTCAGTGGATGTCAAGGTCTGCACTCTGGACACGGGTGTCACTCACAAGAGCCCAGCCCAGTGCCCGCGACCGCGGGGCAGGAAGAGTCAGGGAATTCCCAGCCACAGCACTAAGAACCCAGGCTCCGGGCACAAGGGGCACTCAGGACCATGGCCCCGGGCCCACATCAGCAGGTGGGCGATGGGCGCTGCAGGTCTGGGACCCGCCCACCCGGCCCTGCCTCCCAGGTGTGAGGTTCAGGCTGGGAATCGTTTTAAATTAGGAAAATGACAGGCACTAAAGGTACTGAAAGGGCACGTGGCGGTCCTGGCTGCTGTGGCTCAGTTGGTTGAAGCATCGTCCAGTGCACCGAAGGGTCACGGGGTTGATTCCCAGTCAGGGCACATACTCGGGGGCCTACGGGAGGCAACCGATTGATGCTCCTCTCTCACATCGATGTTTCTCTCTCTCTCTCCGTCTCCTTTCTCTCTCTAAAGTCAATAAAAACATCCTTGGTGAGGGTTTTTCTTTAAAAGTGCTCATGGCAGAGCTGTCTGGTGCTGGCCCGCCCCGGCCTTGCTCCACCGTCTCTGACTCCCCGTCTACAGGTGGAGGGAGGGGTCCTGGGAAAGGGAGGTGGCCGTGGGTGGAGGGAGGTGGGGAGGCTGAGCCCGAGGCCCCTCTGACAAGGTCCTGGGAGGAAAGTGGGGTGAGGCTGCCTCTAGGGCCCTCTGCGGCTCAGGTGTCCCTGGCACAGGCAGGCCTTCCTGCCGTGGACGGGGTTGTGCTCTGGACAAGGGGAGAGCAGGGGCCAGGGGGGCCAGTGAAGGTCTCCGAGCTACAAGGTTGGGGAGAGCTCAGGGTCAGCCGAGGACCCCCTGGTGGAGTGGCTGATGGCTGCAGTTGGGGGCCCTCTCCCCGTCCTGAACACAGACCAGCTGGCCCCCTCTGGGCCTACGCACAGGTGGGCACTGGGCTAGGCTCTCGCCTGCTTCCGTCAGCCGCAGACTGGCCTTGGTGACAGGTGTGACGGGAAGCGCTGGGCGCTGGCCGCATGCCTCACGTGCTCCCACAGCTGCTGCTGCACACTCACTTCTAACTCTTTTTTCCTAAACTTTATCGAAATAATGTCAAACTTATAATCGTGACCCTCAACTGTACATATTTTATCACATAGCTCCTAAAAACAAGGACATTCCCTTAAATAACCCTGGTACTATTATGAAATTCACACCCTGCCGGCCCCGGGGACACCCTGCCGGCCCCTCCTGCCCACACTCAGCCCAGGTCCCGGGAGGTAGAGCACAGGGCACCCCTCGCTCTCCGCACTGACGGCTGTGGCTGCGTGGCCACCAGACCCCACGGCAGGGTCCTGTGGAGGGCTGCTCCCTCTCCAGCCCGGCCCGGCCCTCCCCTCCCTGGAAGGGGCTCACCTGCAGCGGGAGCACCACAAGGGCCACGCAGATCATGATGACGACCAGCAGCTGGGACGGCCAGATCTTGGGCGTCACGTCGCCGTAGCCCACGGTGGAGAAGGTGACGATGCAGAAGTAGAAGGAGGTCAGGAGGGACAGGTTCTCGCCCGCCCGCTCCAGGTGCTGGATGCCGCAGGTCCTGCGGGCCGGG